AAACTCAACCATCTCGGCTCTTTCTCGGGTGGTAAGGCTTGAGCCGAGCAAGAAGAACTTCTCCGGATTCTCTGTATCAATTCGCACTTCTACCAATTCCTCAACGGCTTTGTCCTCGGCCTTAGTACCCACATCATCAAGGACTCCCTGGTCTTCCGGTCCCTTAATCATTTGGACGAAGCCCTTGGTAGCCCGGCTTCCGTTCACTGCCATGAAACATTGCTTCGACATGACTTGATTGCCCCATATCTCCTCAATTACCCCCATAGCTGAGGGGAATCTCATTACCTGGTGATAGAAATGGAAGGAGTGTGCCGCTGACTATGACTGCCTGAACGGCGGGGTTGGGTGCGCTCACTGTGGTCTCTCCCTCCAGCTATACCCTTCCCTTTGACATGCCACTTCAGCTCCTCCATTTTCGCAGCCATTCGCCGGATGACGGTGTCCTGGTCCCTTAGCTTGTGTTCCAGACGTCTGGCGTGCGATTCTCTCCGCTGCCGATAACCATCTAGACTCCGTGAATGACCATAACTTCTTCCGCGCTTATCGCGCGCGTCTCCTGAGTGTCCTCCTAGAGAAGTCTCTAGGTCCGCCATCGGAGGAATGATGGAGGGATGTCCTTCTCTCATTCTGCCCGACTCCGGGGTAACTCCGTCGATGGCGGACAGCGGAATCTCTTCGATGTTCGCTATGGACGGCGATCAGATGAGTCTGGAAAACAAGGTTTTGTCTGCAATCTTCCTACAGATGGCGCCAATTGTGCGGAGAGCAAATATTCAGGCAAACCCGCACTCCTTTCTTCCAAGTTCCTGCCTGTCCGATCGACCTGCGAACACAACGGCGGTGAGCTACTCGACGGTGTGTGGCCGGAAAACCCCTCCGACGATCAAGTTAGACACACAAAGGGATAGAGAGAGAGAGAGAGAACTAAGTTGTGTGTAGTGTTTATCTCACCAAAATGTCATCCTTTCATATGGGGGGCACAGACATGCTTATATACCTTCTGCGCCCCAAATCTACTCCCAGTGATCTCTCAACACGTGGTGTTGCTATTCCATCTGTCAGCACAAATCTTACTGAACATCACCTAACCCAACTGCCAGCCCACTCTACTAGGAGCTCGGCGGCCGGGCTGCAGCATTTCGACTGTCAATGGCCATGCTGCGCTTCATGCCCAAGTGCGTCAATAACCGAGCTCCTTTCCAGCCGTGCTCGACTGCATTTCGGCGAAGCCAAGCTTGAGATTGGTCATACCGGTCAACCAAAGGCCTACCTGTCGAGCTTAAGGCATGAACCTTCATGCCTAGCTATGGAAGTGCGCCTTCCAACCGAGCAACGCATAAACTGTGGAACCCTTACTTGACCGGCCTCCGTGCGACAAGGTTAAGTAGCTCAATTCCACACGCCCTTTGCCATTACCGAGCAAAAATCACTTCTGGGTAGACCCAGGATACCACGGCCCAAATGTGTTCGGCCCACAATTTGTCCGGTATTACCATGGCCTAATCCAGATCATACTTCTCCCTTTCAGAGGTGATGGACCTTGGTTCTTATTTCGATTAATCCATTTTATTGTGAGGTTTACCATAATTCTTCATATTCTTTTTATAAGGCTTTAAATAAGCATTCTTGGAATTGTGACATTTGGGTAAGTTATTATTTGCTGAAACAAAATTTACCTTTGTGGTAGAATTGTCATTACCCGCTTGTGTTATTAATGCATCTTGGCCTCTAGCCTCCTCTTCGACTCAGAATGCGAGTGATCAACGCCTCCAAGGAAGTCTCCTTTTGTTTGTGGCGCATGCTCTTTTGAAATTCTCTCTAAGATGGCTGTAATTTGTTAACAAGTCCTGTAACTACCAAGTTGCCACCAATCTTGATGCCTTCAGATCTTACTTTTGCAACTATCATTTGAAAATCTTGTGCTTGCTCCACAACAGATTTTCCATCCACCATTTGGAAGTGAAAAAAGTGGCTAGTTGCATACTTTTTTGCTCCTGCCACTTCAGTATCATACTTAGTTTGTAAAGCTTTTCAAATTTTCTTTGCGAAAGTGTAAGTGGCGTCATAGTAATCATAAAATTGATCAGTAAGGCAATTTAAGAGATAAAAACGACATTTATACTCATCTGTATTATAGGAAGCCACTTTTGCTTCATGTGCCTCGTAGTCTTCATCATTCATCTCTTCGGTTGGGATTTTGTTTGGATTCTTCTCGATAAGAACATATACAACTTTCAAAAGGCTAAGATAAAAAAGAACTTTTCCTTTCTACCTCTTAAAATGAACTCCTTTGAACTTGAAAAGCTTGTTGAGATCTCCAATTCCATCATTAATTTTTTCTGGTACGTGTTCCATGGTTGATCTCCTTAAAATTATTGGAGAAAATACCAGAAAAAATTATATTTTATTGATAAATAATGCAAAGAAAATGAGATACAAATAGATCAAACTAAGGCACAGATTTCTCGTTTTTTTAAAGGAGATCAAGCCCACTGCGGTAAGAAGAACCCAAATACCGATGCAATAATCACAAAACTATGACTTGTCCCCTCCATGATACAACTGCCCGACCACTTGTCATATAGTTCAGGCCAACTCTGCACAAGATGGTGAACCCAAAGCTCCACCAAGAAAAACACCCTTCTTTGCTAGTAATCTTTCTTGTATAGAAAATAGTTGATGTGTTGGTGTAGAAAAGAGCAAATGAGAGGAACTATTTATAGACTACTAGAACCTTACAAATTACACAAAAAAATAATGACCATTAAACAAGAGAAAATGCAGAGACTCCAAATAACAAAGAGAAAATAGAAAGACTCCAAATAATAACTCACTATCAAGTTCATAAATTCTAATTAACATCTATTCATGAACAAGATAAGATTCATGAATAAAACAAAAAAAGATTCATAAACAAAAATATATAAATAAATAAATAAAAGATATTAAGATGGTCCAATATTTATCATGCTATCACATGATGTGTCTTGATTGAATTTGTAATTAACTTATATAGTTTTTGTTATATTAAAATTTTTCACATAAATTTTATTTAAAAAAAAAACTATTTGTATATTTTGTTAACAAGTCACCTCTCTTCCTTCCCAAACCCAGCAACGACCCTTAAGATCTATTTTGATAATAGTTAAAAGCCAATTTTTTAAAATTATATCACTCTTTTAATTTTTTATGCATTTTATTTAAAAAAATTTAAACATTAATTTTTAACCGACTCCTAAAAATATCTGATTATACGTGTGCCCCTCTCACTCCCGCATACGTGGGATCACCTAATACCTCTTCACTTTCACTCACAAATTTTTTGATAATTTTAGGGGAAAAATACTTGGAAGCATTAAAAATAAAGTATTAAAAGGAGCACTAATAGTGTGATAGTGGATCTCGCCCACTTTCTATGCCTTGTTTTTTTTATTATTTTTATCATTTTCAATATATTAATACTATTAATAATGTATTTTTTAATATTTTAAATCATTGTTGAATTTTAGGAGCCTTAGTATTTGTGCTGATAAATCACTCCTAGTAGGTGACCACTGACCCCACACCCACAGTCAGAAAAATAGTTTAAAAAAGGTTCTTGTTAATTAAAATTTTAAATTCTTTTTCTCATCCATAACAATAGATAATAATTTTTAAATTAATATTACGTATAAAATCTTAAATATTTAATATAAATTTTTTAAAATTTTTATTTTCATAATTGATCTTGTGAAAAATCAAAATTGAAAATATATAGTGTTACTTATAATTAGTGTATTCTAGATAATGTAAAAAAGTTTTATATGTCTTATAATAAAGTATATAATAATATATAAATAATAGTGATATCGCATTATCATTGATATCACTAATCAATATTAAAATAACGCATAGAAAGTCAATCACTTGTTAAATATAATTAACAATTAAATAATTTTTTATTTTCATAGTAAGATTAATTATGTTTACATATAAATAATAATTTGATATCACTGTTGCACTAAATTTTTTTAATAATGTGATTTGTTGTAATTTTTCTTATTTTTAATCAAAATATTATTTTCATAATTTAAAAAATGTCATTAAAAAATCATTCTAAATGTTATTTTTATTAGTTAATTCTAAATGTTATTTTTATTAGTTAATTATTTTCCTTATATGCAAAAAAAAAAAAAAAAACAAAAAAAATTGCAAAACTTGAGAGGGGGCACGTGGCCTTCTAGTCCCTTCGTAGCTCCGCCACTGGCCACCCCTTTTTTTTTTTTTTGTTGTTTTTTTTAGGTACATCGGAATAGAAACCCCCCATTGTTTTCACAGTTCACCAAATACCCTAACAAAACCACATATTCACAACTGCTCTTTCTAATATGAAAAAAATATTCTAATGGGCACAATTGTCAAAACAAAATGCTTATAAAAGCACACTAAAGCCATAAATCAATTTCTTAATTTTTTTTTTTTTTTTTTTTGCCATTAGGCCCAAGTTCTAATATTTTTGGATAAAAAAAGACACAATTTATTTTAAAAGATAACTTTTTGTTATAATTAATCTATTTGTCAATCTTTTAAAACCATCCTATCTCTAAAAATAACATAATTTATATATCTGTTAAAATTCATTTAACCTATTTTCTTATTTATCGAAATTTACCAAACTATTTATTTATTAAAATGTGACATATGTTACTCATGCATTTGAATTATTTTCATATTTGTCAAAATATACCAAACTATCTTATTTACCGAATTCCACACATTTTTCTATTTCACTATGATCACTTGCTCGCTCGCCGCCGTTGAAAGTTTTTGATGACAATTCCAACATAATTTTATTGTTAAATAAGATTTTACTTTAGGTTTAATGCATTATACCTTACTTAAATTAGATTTTTCACCAATTTTTTATTTTATTTTTGAATAAAATATTCTCTTATCCCGTAAATTTAAATAATAAAAAAATGTTCTAAAAGTTGGTTTCTTCTTCGCCTGCCCATCCATTTATGACTGGTTTTGGTCATACGTCTCTCTCTCTCTCTCTCTCTCTCTCTTCATCTCTTCCTTTCCATAGACTCTCTCTCTCTCTCTGGATTGTGTTATCTGCCCTTGTTCTTGATACTCTCTGTATCCCTCAATTAGCTTCTGATCTTCATTTGATCATCTCTGTACTTATTTATATATATTGACACATATATCTAATCCTAGTTTGATTTGGTTCACCATTGTTGGGGTTTCTTCATAGTTCCCTAATTCTCGTCGACAACAATCAGCTAATTGGATTCGTTAGCCGCACCCTTCTGGTTCAAGATCGGTCCGATCAATCAATACCCAGTAAAATCAATGCATTTCTAATAAGATCAACGTTTCGATAAAACGGTAGTTCTGTGTAGTGTTTTTATAGAATCTTGAGTTTTAGGGTTTTTGGTGGAGTGTGGAGATGTTGGCAGCTGGATTACAGTTCGGTCGAAGTCGTGGAGGAGACCGGTTTTACGATCCAGCGAAGGCTCGTAGGAACTATCAGAATCAGCAGAGTCAAGATCATCTTCGGAGAGCTCAGAGTGATGATGTGACTGTGCAGAGTCAATCTCCTTCGAAAGAGGACAAGTCTGTGGTTTCAAAGGAGAGTCCTAAGCCAGTAGTCACGCCGGCATTGGAGCCAGTGGTGTCGCCTTTGTGTAATCTTGAAAGGTTTTTGGAATCGATTACACCTTCTGTTCCTGCTCAGTATCTCTCTAAGGTTAATTTAGTTTGATCAAGTTTGGTTTATTGCTTGAATAAATTTTAGTGTTAATATCACTTATTTATTTATTTATTAAATTTCATTCCTAAACGATCATTTTCGTATATTTTTCTAAAATTTCTGATTTTTGTTCATTTGGTTCAATTGGAATTGGAGATGATTGTACAAATTATCATGGTTGAAGCTTAATTTGATGGGTAAAAAGGGTAATTTTATAATTTGAATAACTTAAATTATACTACCAAACACTCTTTAAATTGGTTATGGAGTGTAATTTGTTTAAAACAGTAAGAAAAATGAGTGTTTTGCTGTATGGTGTAAGTTGTTCAAATTTTGAAGGAACATTTTATCCATCAAGTTAGGGTTTAATTGTTATTGGTTTGTATAATTGTCTCTAATTGGACTATGTGAACATAATTCAGAAACTTTAAGAACTAAATAGACAAAAATAATAGTTTAGGGATGAAATAGAAAAAAAATGATGATAGTTTAGGTGATAAAAGATTTTATACGGCCCCATTAATGATTTTGTTATGTGGGTATTATTGTTTTGTTAGATGTTGAATGATTTGTGATATGAATATGATTGCAGACAACTATGAGGGGTTGGAGGACTTGTGATGTGGAATTTCGACCATACTTTGTGCTTGGTGATTTGTGGGAGTCATTTAAGGAGTGGAGCGCTTATGGTGTTGGCGTGCCATTAATTTTGAACGATAGTGATAGCGTGGTTCAATACTATGTCCCATATTTATCTGCTATTCAAATATATGGTGATCGTTCGAAGTGTTCAGTGAAATCAAGGTAATCATAGTGCTGTAGTGAGTTCTGCTAATAATAGAACTCACATTCTTACTTGACGTTGAAACATGAATATAGTGCCAACTGAATTCTTGCCTATTGTTGTAATTGTAGTCAAGTGTGGTTATTATTAGATTCTTGTGGATTGCCTTTTCTACTTTCCAAAGCCATCCAAGATATTTATTCAGATTGTATCCGATGCCTTCTGTACTTGAAAAAGTTTATGATGCTTTCACTATAAACATCCATGGTGCTTAATTTATTTGGAATCCTTTATTTAGCTTGTTATAAAAGTGTACAATCCAGTCAGTATATTGGGCGCAATCCACAAACATTTTTGTAGCACAAGAAATGTTCATATTCTCCTGTAGTCCTGTTCCTTAAGAACCATTGATATGCATATAAAGGAAGTTAGCAATTAGGCATGAGAGAGTCAAAATTAATAATGTAGTTTATACAGTCTAGTATCTGGGATCTAATTCTTTACTTTACATGAAAATCTATACTGTTGATGTATTACCCAAGAATGAAGAGAGAGTTCCTTGTGCTCTCTGATATAGAGCTAAAGCTGGACAGTATTGGTAAATTTAAAATAATATTTCCTACAAATGTTGTTTTGGTGGATTAGTTCATAAAAACATTTAGGTTTAGCATTTTTAATAGCAGGAAGACAAGTTGAAGGCTGAAGGGTTTGTAGATAGAAAAGAGTTGGAATTGGCTTGAGTTTAAAAGTGTTTGGTTGTTGGAATTTCAGAATAATTGCTTGGTATTTTTTGAACAGCAACCAATTTAGGTTTTAGGGGTTAAATTAGTGCCAAGGGTTTGAAGAAAGGTCTAAGGTTACGAATCACAGGTTTGGGATGAAAAACTCAAGGACAACACATAACATAGTATAGGGTCTTGTTGCTTCACTGATGTGTATATGGGGAGGTTTGTCTCTTGGGATTATCAACTTACATTTTCTTTCCCCATAGTTCCTGTTCAAGTAGATATGTTACTCTTGCAACCACAATCAGAGGTAAAATCTTCCTACATGTGCAGAGACACACAAACACACACATAAATCTTACAAATTTAAGCCATGGGATGGTGGTAGCTGGAATTCCCTATTTTTAACTACTAAACTTTATTTTGAATGATGAAGGATATGTAAGCGTAAAACTGGCAACTGACTTATGAAATATAAAACTGTATATGAAGTGTGTTTGCTATTCTCCTTTATAAATGTGTTTTTGGCCTTCTCTCTCTCTCGCACACACACATAAGAAAAATCTGCCCTGCCCTTTCTTATTCATGTATTTCCTTTTTGACTAGTCTTTACTACTGACCGTTATCGCTCTATGTTCAGTTTGTTACTTATGCTGGATATCAAGAATAATTTAGATTTTGAAGTATTTTGTTTTTCCAAAATTGGAAGTATTGGAGGATTGGTTGGTAGAGTGGAATTTTAGTTTAATAGGTTCATTTAATTTGTCAACATATTATCATACTGTTTTGATGTTGTCCTTGTGCCATAGGCAACCTGTTGAGGACAGTGACTATTTCAGGGATTCAGGTAGTGATGGTAGCAGTGATTCGGAACATGAGAAATGCTTGAATTACTCTAGAGAACAACGGAATCATCACCACCTAAGAAGCGAGATTCAGCATAATGCCCTTCAAGAAGGCTTCTCTAGTGATGAGGGTGAATCTGGGAACACCCAAAAATGCCTTCTGTTTGAGTATCTTGAACGGGACCAACCGTATGGTCGTGAACCTCTTGCTGACAAGGTTAGTCATCTCTTCCCTCGTTTAATTCATGCGAAGTCTGTATGTTGATCCTTTATTTTTCCTCAAGGTTTCTTGTCTTCTTATCATTTCAGATATCAGATCTTGCCCTCCATTTCCCTGAGCTGAAAACACTAAGAAGTTGTGATCTACTATATTCCAGTTGGATTTCTGTGGCCTGGTATAATTATCACACCTTGCATCTTTGTCTCTACACACACATACAAATGCAGATGTGACTTACTGGTTGTGATGGAATTTTTTAGGTATCCCATTTACAGAATACCAATGGGGCCAACATTAAAAGATTTGGATGCTTGCTTTCTGACTTACCACTCTCTTCATACGCCTTTGTCAGGTAACTAAATATTTTTGTTGTCGGTACATTCTACATATTGAAATTAATTATTTATGCACGTGTCTATTTAGTATATTATTCTGTATAAATCTTTTGGTAGTGTGTTTCCTTGTTTATGTTTAACTTTTTTGAAAACAACTATTTTACAGCTATGCCAATGTCTCTCTTCATTTTTTGAAGACTATTTTTGCAGTTAATGCTCTGAGTTAGGAATAATAAATTTTGTGCTTTTATCTTTAGTTAAGTTTATTCACAAATATTTTGATGTAATGCTAGATTGACCCCTCCCTCTTCTCTCGTTTATCTGCTATATATATGGAAAATGCTAACAAGTGCCCCTAGGGCACTATTTAATATCGGAATTGGTGTAAAAAGTGTTTGGAAATATGTGAAAGTGATGAAATTATTGAAAAGTGTTTTGAAATAGGTGAAAATTATTTGTGTTTTTCCAATTTCCTGTTCTCGTGCCCTAGGGGCACTTGTTAGCAAGACCCTATACATATGTATTTCATTTTCACTGGTCAACCCTATCTGATTCCTTTCCAAACTCGACACCTAACCCACATGGGAAGTCTTTCCTAATGTCTTTACCTTGGGCTAGCCTCTTTCCTAAAAAATTCTCACACAATATTCTTTCTTGTTGACTTTGTGGAGTGTAATGGTGGGACACTTTGTCAGTGTCTGAGTAGCTTCTGTATTTTTTAAATGGATTCATACAGAGTGTTGTATTTATAAGTGATAATTTTTTGTTTGCATTTTCGTGATTATGGCAGGCACTCAAAGTGCGCAGGCCCCAGTTGTGACTTATCCCAGTGAGATTGATGGCATCCCCAGGATTTCATTACCGGTATTTGCTCTTGCTTCATACAAGTTCAAGGAATCCATTTGGATGCCAAATGGGGGATGTGAGAGACAATTGTTGAACCCTCTCTTGCAGGCTGCTGACAAATGGCTAACTCTGCTTCAGGTCAATCACCCGGATTTTCTTTTCTTCCACCGTAGATAAAATTAGGTGCAGACTTCCCTTATGTTTTCCATTGTACGATTCTAGGGAAGAAGCCCAACTCATTCCGTTATAAAGGCATGGTTCTCTTCTGAGTAAAATATCCAATGTTGGTTTTTGTGGGGATCAAGATAGAAACGTTGAGTTCATGTTTCTGGTTTGGTTTGCTGCTATTGTTATATTTTGAAAAGAAAAAAAAGAAGAAGAAAAAAACAAAAGAAAAATACTTACCCCAAAAAAAAGAAAAAAAAAAGCAAGAAAAGAACAGAGAAAATATAGTGTTAGATGCAGGGCTGAGCTATGCCTGTTACATGAGATAACAGGCTTTTTTTTCCTTGGTCAGTACTTAGATTGTAATATTTTATGTAACATTTTGAAGGGATTTTGATAGAGAGGATGTACAATAGTATGAAGTTGTAGCTGCCCCATGATCATGACCTGTGTCACTAATCCTTGTATTGTTTGACTAGAAATGGCCGTTTAAAAGAGTACTGATGTTTAGGGAATATTGGTGTACAATATTTTTGAATATTTTCAGCTATATTAATTGCTTCTGTAGTAAATTTTAAAGTGTGTTTTGTTTACTTTGTCCATGCATAGCGGTTTGGAGGCTTACATGGGTTGCAATTTTTTTAGTTTGGGCTTTATTTCTTCCCGATTGATTTAAAATCCTTGCTTGTCATCAACTTCATTTGCTCATACATGCTGTTGTGCTACTATATTTTGGTTGCTTACACTGCATCTCATTGAACTTGGAAGTAGTTTTAATCTGTCTGATTCGTTCCAGGATTTGAAGCTTCAAATTAGGAAATTGTATGATAGGTTTCATTTCCCTCATTGTGGTTATCTTTTTGGTTTATGGTGAGCGACCAGTGAGTTCTGCATTTCAACCCATGATGGTCTGGGATGGAAGCATTTAGTGGTAGGTCTGTAAATAAGTTGAGTTGAGTCGAGTCAAAGAATGTATCGATCAAGATTGACTTGAAAATTTAGTGAGTTTTAAAATGTGTGAAAATTTGAATTGTTTAGTTTTTTGTGTCGATTTTAAATGAGCTAAGGATGAATTGCGTTTGAATAGCTTGATTTTTTTATAGTACATGGAAGCTTGTCGAGTTAAATATTAAAGTTGTTCAAGTTTTTATTGAAAAATTTAATGAATTTTATAATGTGTTTAAATTTTGATTTATTTATATAATTTCATTTTACAGTCCCATTCAGTAGCACTGAATCACTCTGTTATTTTTGGATCTAGTTATTCATGATTGGTTATCTCGAACAAAGTGGAACTCGTTTCCTTGAGAAGTAGAAATTTTTTGGAAGGGAAGTATAGCTGAAATTGCGTCAAACCTTCTGATGGTTTGGTTTCTATACAACGAAAGGGAAGACCCTTATACATTGTATCCGAATACATAAGTTTTTGGTTAAACAACGAAGGTCCATATTTACGGAATTATGGAGTAGTTTATCTGTATATTTATATTTTTGCTTAAAAAAAAGATAAATTGCACTCACCTCCCTATAAGGTTTGAGAAAAATTCAATTAGCCATGTGCAAATAAAAAAATGGATAGAAAATTCAAATATTAATACACGCAGATTATTGGGGAAGAAGGAAATAAGAATTTGAGAGACAACCAATATCTATCCTAGCGAAGGGCTAATGCAGAGCCCAATCAAGCCTTATTAATAAAGCAATTTCATTCACGTGGTAGGTAGGTTTGTTAATAAAGCAATTTCATTCACGTGGTAGGTAGGTTTGTGTACATTTCTATTTGGAAAATGCATGAGACCCCAGTGGGTACTGGGATTATAGTTCTAAATCGCGGTATCGGGTAACGTAATGGTATTGATCGCGGAGTATCGGTATCGGTAGTATCGACCGGTACGTATCGGGTATCGGGCGTCTTGTTCTAACCAAGCACCGTTTGGAAAAGTTGTAACCAATAGGGCATCACTATATCTGTTTAACTCTTATTTCGTATCTTTTGTCATAACATATGCTACAGATTCAGGGTTACGACTTTTGAATATATCATTGCATGTGTTACACTTTTATAAAGAGATGAAATCTTATGAATGAAATAACATTATATTTAGAATCGTTTATTATTTAATATATGTCGTGGGTTGATCCTATTGTTATATTTTCCGGGCGTTACAATATATATATTTCTCTTAAAAATTTATCTTTTGAATAGAGATATCTGTTTTGGCTATCAATGGAAAATAGCATTGCTTGTTATAGAAATTGCATGTGTGAACTAGGTTAATGGAAACCCATTCACTCATGCATTCAATTTGAACAATTGTTTTATATTAATTGCATAGAAAAGTATCATTTTGGGAAAAAATGGGTGATACTTGGTGAATTTGGTTAGGGGGTGTGGTTGTGGTTATTATGTTGGCCTTTTTATGTTCTTGGTGAAAGTCCAGAAACGTGCACGGTTAGGTGCTGATCCTTCCAGTTAGTACCAGTAAAACGGTTTTGGTAGTACTTGTATAGCCTACTTACAGACACGTACCTAGAGATTCTCAGTTTGTGTATTTACTACCATATTTTTTGTTTTGAAAGCAACAATTTATTAATTGCAATATAAACTTGGCATTGCATGATTTAAAAGAGAAAATGTATTGTTTTGATAATGGCATTTCATATGCATTTATTATATGATTTTGTTAAGTATCATACATATCATTAAACATATCTCTATTGGGCATTAACTCACCCTATGTGAAAACTAACTTTCAAGTGTTAATGATATACCTCGGCTAAGAGATTAGCCCGGGAGGACTGTGGAGCTGAAGGCTCATTTAATTTTTGTCTTGTAGATATATGTTGTACAAGCCTAGGGCTTTCGTTATATTGGGCTTTGACTCACTTTTGTTATAAACAAGCATCTTCTTGAAAACTTATAACCCTTAAGGTATGAACGTGTAATTATTTACTGTTGTTTTTAGGAAAATGCATGAGACCTCCAGTGGGGGTGCTGGGTCCCTTCTGATTGGTCCAAAAAATTGTTTTTTTTTTTTTTTTAAGCCACTGGCAGCCCCCCACGTGGAGGTGGGAGTGCTGGGGGTGCCTTGGAGTTGGGGGTCTCCAGCATTCTCCTTTCTATTTAACTAGTTAGCCCCCCACGCGCTTCGCGCTTGACGGTCACGTTACAGTGTCAATATAAATACTTTAAAAATTGTATTTGGTTTGTAAATTTGAGGGAAAAAAAAGTGTATAAAATATAGGTGAAATATAGTTATATTTTCAGAAAATCACATACCAAATCATTCGGTTTGAGAGTTGATATCACTTATTCTTCTATAAAACATGAGGACTGATATCCAGAGCCCAAACAACAGAGTCCTCATGCCTAATATCATTTTTCACAAAGTGCTCATGCCTATATCTAAAATCAAACCAATCAAAGAATGGTGTGATGGTGGAAACTATTTCATATACCTATCTCATGAAATAGAAATCTTTTAGAATCCCATTTCAAAAAATAGAAGTAGAAACCATTTGGAAACCCACTTCAATCATTGAAGAGAAGAGAAGAGATGCTATAGAAATCAAACCGTTTCATAACCAAAATCAAATAATTTCAAAACCATTTAACTCGTAGAGAAATAGATTTTAAGAAATAGAGAGTAGAAATGGAAGTTTTTGTTACCTGTGATGATGAGATCCAATGGTGTGGAAAAATGTTTCCCAACAAAAGACAGAAGAAGAATTCAACAATTTTCAAAGAAATGAGTTACCTTTTGTAGAGTTATCATCCTCAAGGTCCATTGTGGCTTCACTTGTAACTCCTTAAATTTTGACGACATCATTTACAATTTCTCATCTCTGCAACATGTCTACTCACATTACAAGTCAACCAAACAAATAGGTAATGCATATAAATTTGAACTTCTTTTGATTACAAGAATTATGATGTATTTGGGAAAAGCATTAAGAAAACAAGCAGTGCCAAACTACACAATCCATAGGTTGTACCACTCAATGAGTCACATTCTCCATACCTTATCATATAGTGATCCATAAATCTTCTAGCAATTAGCTTCAAGGGATGCTCTCTCCTAAAAAAAACTTTGCCTCTAACTCATTATGTTGGCTCTGCAATGGTACAACAAAGCATTACACTTCAACATATCTAAAAAATCTACGTACATACTTTTTGAAACCATTTATATATCAAATGTTAAAGTCTAAAGAGAAACTTGGCTACAATATGACACTCAATGAGGACATTCCTATAAATAAACCATATAATTAGCAATTCAACATCATTGATACATTCCTGAATAGAAACTAAGCTACCTAATCTGTGCATAATATTAGTTCAAAATGGAAATATAGTACAAGCTCAATCATAAATGTCAACGCTTATTCTCGACAAAGCGTAAACCCTTGCTACTTTTCCTAGTTCCTCCTCTTCTAAAAGTTGGTTCTGTCATGCTCAACGACTTTTCAATCCCCATGGAAGTGGTTCTTGAAGTACTTTACTGGAATTTCAACACAAAAAATGAATAATAAAATGTTTTCAAGATAAAATCTTGACAAGAAAAACAAAACTCCACTCATTCCATTGTAACATTCTCGCCTACACATCAATACTACGAAACATTTAGAAACCAAACATAATGAAACAGGAACATATTAAAATTTGTGAATTCTAAGCTGTTTTCAATATTGCATTATGAGTTATAGAGATCTAGATATTGTATTATTTCTTTCACGGACCTTCATACTAAATATGACAACAATTTTTTGTATTATTTTTTATATTTTAACACTAATTATGTTTGGAAAATTCCCCCCCCCCCAAAAAAAAAAAAAACCCAAAGTTTCACCCTTACAATAGCATATCTATACCATAGCATTTGAATTAAAACTGAAATTCTTGTTGAGTTAAGAAAAAAAAAAAACCCTAGAGTTTCACCCTTACAATAGCATATCTATACCATAGCATTTGAATTAAAACTGAAATTCTTGTTGAGTTGAGAATAGTTTCTACAATTTGAGATACAATTTTCTCTATATCTATATAATTAGATTACAGAGAAACAAGAACATAGAAACCACATGGTGGCACATCTTGGAAGACCAATAAGCATGGAAACAGCTATTTACATACCAGATTGTCCAGCCATCTCAAAAGAGCATTAAAATACAAAGCTGAATGGAGTTTCAGTTCGCAAAAACACCAATAGAAAATACAGAACACAGAGGAAAGCAGAACGTAGTAGGGAATTGCACACACCTGGTTGTCTAGTTGTGCACTTGTTGTTCTTGGTTTCAGCACTTTCGAAAGATGTATAGTTCTGCCGCTTCGCCGCTACACCCTTTGAAGACAACTTAGCATTTTCCCAATTCAACAGCAACTGATACACCGCCATAAGATTGAGATGTTATAGGTGACAGCAACAATGGCAATTGCGCACTCCCACAAATTCAAGTTGGGGCTTCTCCGTGGACTTGTGGGTTGGTGAAGGCTACTCTTCAAAGGGGCAAAATTTGTTTTCTTTCTCATAGTCGGCGTGGATGATTTGAATCCACACCTTGCAGGCAGGAGCTTTGGGAAATAACCAAACAACATAGCACCGGTTTGGGAAATTCTAGGAACCCACATGTCCAATCCAAAATCTATGAGGGAAGAAGCCTAGCGTTACACCATGTTACACCACTCTTACATTCTTTTTATATAGGTTATAGATTATAGTAGTACTACAAATATTCTTACTTAATTATCCAGAAATTATTCAGAATTATTATATTGTAATTTTGATTTATTTAATACATGAATCTCACACTATACAAATTTAATATCAACCACACAATCTCATTCGGGATAAATTTAGGGTGAAGGTGGGGTACATAGAATTATTTTAATTAAGGTGGTCTACTTCATTCATTGATTATAAGACCATTAAGCTTCCTATCTAATGCATCTGAACAAATCTGAGACATCAAGTGGTAAAAGGAGCTGAGATCAGATAACTGATCTATAGACATTTTGGCCATAATAGTCCTAGCAACTCTCTCCCTCTCTTCATTCACCATCCTCATCATCCTCAATCTGTCGATGTACACTGATGAATTCCTCACTGTTGCTCCCATCTGCTTCAGCCTTTTCTCCTGCTGCCTACTCAATGCCGTGTTTGCCTGCAATTCAAATTAAGATGTACCCAATGTAGTCAACTTCAAAGACTGTGACACTGCTCGATTGATAATGTTTATGTTTACAGTTTGACGATTGAATGTCATTTTGCTTTCAATGGTGATTCATGAATAATGCATTTATTGCCTGGTTCTTGTTGTAAAGATTTTGATTTACTTGTATGAAATGTATGAGAAAAAAATATTATGTTATGTTTGGATTTTGAATTTGTTAAGATTGGTAGCAGATTTAAGTGAGTGATAAACCCATCAAGATTGGTAGCAGTTATCATGAACCATTTTACAGATTGGGTTTTTATTTTTATTACCTCAAGAAATTGAGCTCCGGGTTCGAGTTCAGACTCTTGGGCAGAAACTGTCCCACGTCCAGTGCTGTACAAGTCTTTTGCAATGGAGAAACTTCTCACAACTATGTTTCTCTTCTTCTCCAATTCCTCCATATCAAGCTTTGGAGCCTTTCGTATGCGATCCAAACCTTTTAGTTTCTTCTCATAAGCTATTACAGCTTTCACAAATTCCTACACAAACCACCCACAGATTGCTATCTAAATTCAACACCACCTTTTTTAAAAAAAAAAAAAAAATCAAAATTTTTTTTTCCTTTTGTTCTTAAATATTTTTTCAGAAAATATTTTTTATTTTTATTTCTGAAGAATTTTTTTTTAAAAAAAATTTCGAAAAAATTATTTTATTATTTTTTTAAGTATTAACCAAATAATTTGTTATGATTTACATATATATGGGCGATTCAAAAAATTTTAAAATATTAAAACGATTAAAATAAGAAAATATTTAAAATAAAACATATTTTTAAATATTTTAAAAATAATAAATACAGCACACATTAAAAAAATAAATACATATTTACAATAAAAAATAATTTCCATAAAAAAATAAAATAATTTTTTTAAATATTTTTTTAAAAAATAAATCCAAAATAATTTCAAAATACAATTCAAAACTTTTTTCAGAACTCATAACTAAACAAATTTTTTCTTTTTAAAACTCATTTTAAAAACTTATCTTTCAAAATATAACTTTACGCTCAAATTATAATTCGAAAACTAAATCAAACGGACCGATTTTCACTAATCTTCTTTTTGTTTCTATTTTAACTGACAACTTAGATTTATTTTGGGATGTTTTGAAAAGTTAGTAAAAAGTTAATTTTTTGACTTTTTAAATTTATTTTGTCTTTTTATAAATAAATTATGTAAAATTATGTGAAAGATGATATGATTCAAAATGAGTAAAAAGTTGGAATGAGACTTTTTACTAAAAGACTCCTTTGTCACGCATCCTTGCTTATATAAAACAGTAAAAAAATAAGAAAAAATTAGAAAAATAATTACCCGATAAGCGGAAGGGCATCCAGGATAATCAAACTCATCAGAACCTTGTCTCCTCATTCTCTCAGGATGAAACTGAAGACCCATAATAAACTTACCCTCTTCAGGATCATAACAATCTGGGTCATAAAACCCTTCAACCAACCCATCCTCAGCAAAAGCCATTGGCACAAACCTCTCAGCCAATCTCTTCACACCTTGATGGTGATAACTATTCACCCTAATCTCCATTTTCTCACCTTCCAAACACCCTCCAAACCATTTACACAAAGGTGTGTCCTCCACCAACCTGACAACATGCCTGTGCTGATCATAATCATCATAGTTTATATGAACAACCCTACGATTTTCAGGACACTTTTTCAAAATCTCTTTCTCTACATCTTGGTATAGGGTACCCCCAGAGGCAACATTGAGGATTTGTGAGCCTCTGCATATGCCTAAAAAGGGTATATTTTTTTCCAAGCAGAGCTTTGCGAGTCTGAGCTCGATGGTGTCTTTTTCGCGGTCTATGGCTGTGTCGCTTGCGTGGAGTTGTTTGATTTGTTGGAGCTCTTCTGGGGAGAAGTCGGAGAGTTGGGAGTCGTAGAGGGATGGATCGATGTCTTCGCCTTCGCAGAGGAGGACACCATGGATGGGTTCGAAGCTGTCGAGGAGCATGTGGAGTCCATGGACTCTGGGGACTATGACTGGGACTGCTCCATAGCTTACTATGAGGTCTAGGTGATATTCTCCTGCTCAAATCATATGGAAATTGCTTCATTTTAAAATCAATTATCGTCGCTATTTTGAATTTGATATTTTTTAATGTAGATTTATATAAACATTAGTGATAGGTCAATGCATGTGTAAATATATATAGTTTTTTTTTTTTCAAAATTATAAGATGTTGATTTGTTAATAAAGTTAAATTATAATTAAAAGAGTTTTCTTTATTCTATTAACTCAAATCTTTAATATTTTCGTCATCACACCTTAAGATATGATTACAAAATCACTGAATCAAGCCTAAAGTCTATATATAATTAAAGAATAAAGAAAATAAATCTGAATATTTTTTTTTTGCATATGCAGTTTCCAAATGGCCGTGGCCTGGCGTTTTCATAAAAGTAAAATATGTGGCAAATTTGCACCAAGTTACATGTCGATTTTATATAATAGTATGAGGTGTTAATTGTATAAGATGTTGTTGTATAGATATGACAAATTTACATCAAATGATTGGTATGGTGTTCATAGTCTGCAGCTCCAATATCTCAATTTCGAAAGCATCCAAATAATTTCTTGAGGTCCCTTTATATTCATTGAAATATTGGACAAAAAAAATTAGAATAATCATTATATATATTTCTTTCATTTCAAAATATTAGTTTCTATCTTTTAAGAAATTGATTTTTTTTAATAGCATAATTATTACGCTTTTAAAAATATTGATTTTTTAAAATTACTTTTGATAGTACTATTTTTTAAAAATATCAATTGTCATAATTGTAATTTTTGTGTTATTAATGAATTTAAAAGAATGACAAAATAAGAAATTTATGTCATTTTAGTTGTTGATTTTTGAAAATCATGAAAAATGAAATTATGGATTAATATTTTGGGACGAAAAGATTATTATTTTTAATCAGCAAAAAATGAGATTTTATTGATAAAAACAACCTTCAATACAAATGAAATTATACTAATGAAAAAGAGTGAGCAAAAAGAATCATCAAGCATCTTAAAGAGAGAAAAAAATCAGGGTGGATGATTATATAGATATAGATATGATATTTATATATATACATAATGCATGAAGGCATATATCTGTTGAGAAATATTCATATACAATTTACAGAAGATGGATTTTGATCTCAAACAAAACAAGAATCATCGAGAGATATAATCATAGAGAGAGAGAGAGAACGAACCCACAAAATCTACGAACTTGTTCTTGCGTACAGTTCGTCGAGAGACGATGAGAACCCTTGGAAGAATCATCGAGAGATCTGAATCCATTGCCATGATGACAACAATATATACAAAAGCTTTTCAAGGGGAGAGAAAAAATAGAGAAGGATGGATCAAGAATTCAAGATCTTTAAAAATATTGTTGGATCTTTAATTAGTTTCGATGATTGTTTGACATACGTACAAAAACATCCACCAAGATCACACTTGGATTCTTTCTCTATTAAGGACCCAATTGGTTTCTTTTCTCTTTTTTTTTCTCTCTCTTTTTCTGTGGATAAATGTGTATGTAATTGAGTCATATATGTAGGCGCTGTCTAGGCGCCCCGTATGTACACATGTCATTGGGTAATGTTTGCATTTAGCGTTATCTTAGAGAAGTCAAATTTTGATTAGTTGCTGCTGATGTGGAAGCCTCTTCCCATTAGGTAGATAGAGAGCTAGGATTATCATTTTGCTACTGCAAAAATGTTATAGATCAAACTTTTTACATAAGTGTGAGATTTACATAAATCACATGTATGTGAGTCCTACACTCATATAGGAGATTTAATATAAAATTTAATAATTTATTTAGAATTCTTAACCTCACTTGCTCAAAAGTCTGTACCCGCCTCGCTAGACAACTTTTTACCCAGTCAGAGCATGTACCTTGAACAGGCTGGTCCGACCCAAATGAGCTTTGGATTGGGCCTAGGACTAGCATTTAAAGCTCGACTTGGACTTAGGGCGGACATTGGCCCGTCTAGCTTAGTCCTATTTTAAAGGGTTTTGAAAGGTTGTTTTAGCCTATAGGGTTAGGCTGATCTAACACTTTTAACTTGATATATTAATAGATTGAGTTTGGGATTTATATTTTTAACCTAGTTTGGCCCAATCCACTATTAAATTAATTAAGGGAAACTTACTGATAAGTCCCATGTACCAAGTTCAAAATCCAGCTAATCCCAAAACAAAATACTTGCACCAATTAGTCCAATACATTTTTAATTGTTACCAAAAAATTCTTTTTTTTTTTTTTAATTTACAGACACTGTTCACATCTTACTACCGTAGGACTTCCGTCAAACGGTCGCCGGAGACTCGTCGGAATGTTCAACATCGCCGGGAAGTCGCCGGAATATCACCGGAAGTTCGCCGGAGTGTTAAGAACATTAATGGAAGTCGCCGGAATGTTCAGAACGTTCACTGGACGTTAAGAACATCACTGGAGACTCACCGGAATATCTAGAATATTGTCGGAAAAAAAAAGAAGAATAAATGGATAAATTATAGCAAAAAAAACATAGCAAAATGTGCTAAATATTGATAAACTAAAAGGAAAAAAAATGAAACGACAAAAAACAGCAACAATGGGAAAAATATATGTTATTTTTCAATTTTTGTAAGGTTCAAGCAAATAATCTCTAAATAGTGATCAAACTGAAAAGTAAGTTTTGAAACTGTAAAATGTTACAGTTTCAAAACAAAAAACTATTAAGCATTTATCCTTATTAATCAAACTGAAAAACATGTTATGAAACTGTAAAATTTTACAGTTTTATACCATGATTCATTCCAGCACCAAAAAAATTTGAAACTGCAAAATTTTACAGTTTTCACCGCCTGTAACTAAAACTCAAAAACTACTTGTTCAGAATTCGAAAATTTTATCCATTAGAACAGAAAAACAGAAGTGTATAGCAAAGAAAAAAAAAAAGAGTGATCGAAGGAGAAAGGCGCATGTAGAGAGAAGATTGTACTCCAGCAACTATTTTTTGTTTAGATCTAGCAAAATCTGATGTAGATCTACTTCGATCTGATGTAGATCTGAATAAATCTACATCAGATCTAAGTACATCCACTCATCTTCTTCGTCGGAAATATATCATCTTCTTCGTCGGAAATATATTATCTTCATCGTCGGTGAGAGTGAAGTCACGAGTTGATTTCGATGGTTGGCGGTTATCAGTGAACCCGATCAATGGAGAAAGACATGATCACCGGTCGTCGTCCATGACAAAGACGATGAGAGAAAAATGCAGAAAAAAAAACGAGAGAGGAAGGGAAGCAAAAAACAGAGAGAGAGAGAGGAAAAGACTTTTGGGTGTACTCAAAAAATTATGGAATTAAATGGTGTCCACATGTTTCACATGGGACCCGTGGGTAATTTCCCCATTAATTAATTAATTATAATATATTAAAAAATATATTTTTTGTTAGGATCTATACATTATTTTTGTTTTTTGTTTTTTGTTTTTTTTTTGAAACTCATATTTGTGATAATGTGTGATTGAATTTGTTTAATAAATATTTTAATTTATACATAAAATCTTTCAATTCATAATGATGTTAGTATATTTATTTAATAAATATAACGTGTGATTGAATTTAATTACAGAATATTTTATTTTTTATTTTTTATTACATATAATCCAATTGATGAAATTGAGATTTATAATTATTTTTTAAATTGAATTTGAAAAAATATAGAAGTCTGATATTAAAGCTAAGCCGAATTCAATTTAGACAAATGTAAAATCTTTTATTATGTAATGGGGAGCCGACCTAACAAACGTTTACCTCTACTTGGCTGGCAAGTGAGACAAAAAATATGAAGGAAAAAAATTCAAAAATATAGGCCTAAATCTCGACATGTACCTATAGGCCTATCAGCCTGACTCATGAATAGGCCTATCAGCTTGACTCATGATTCCGTTTGACTTGTGCTTGTTGGGCAAGACTGGGCATAAGGCTTGAGCTTGTTGAGCTTGTCGGGTCAATATGTATTTAAGTTCGTGATAGACTTGATATATAGCTTAAAAGTACAAATTATTCTGTTCATAAATTTAGGGCTTTTTGGAAGATAAATTATAATTCACTTTTTAGATTATAATTTATTTTTATTTCTCACAAAAAATTAATTATAATTAATTTATAATCAATTTTTAATTAAAAAATTGATTATAAAGTCGCATTTGGTAAGTGATGATTTCAGTTAAAAAGTTAAAAAATCATTAAAAAAATTAAAAAGTTAACAACATATATAAGGCTTGGTTTGGGAAGTGGGTTGGCTTTTTGGCTTTTTGGCTTTTTTGACTATTTTAGCCTGGGCTAAAAAGCTTGGTTTGGGAAGGACTTTTTGGCTTTTTTGACTTTTTTTGTGAGAGAAGAATGTAATAATTATGGGTTGGATGTGATGTTTTATTTATTATGACTAAAATAACTTATTTTATTTTTTGTGACTAAAATAATCAAAAAAACCTGCAAACCCACTTGCCAAACAGGCTTCGTCTCTTACTCACTTTTACATTCGTCTAGCTCTGTAAAACCCTTTTATTTCTCTCACCTTATTGTCTTCTAAATATCAATATCTCATCTCATCTGTAAATCAGTTTTTTTTTTTTTTATCATATTTCAACTAAAAAACTACTAAAAAAACCTGTTTTCAAATGAAGCCTTATTAGGGTTGGAATCAGGTTAAGCCGGGTTGGTCCAACTTGTGAAAATGAATCCGAAGCCCGCTTGTAGACTAAGGCCAACAATTGGCCTTTTACTAGCGGGCTCAAGCTAGCATGTCTCGTGGGCCCAAATCTTAGGCCTAAGTTCTGCCCCCAACAAGCCAAGATTTAGGCTCCGTTTGGTTACGATCTCAAATTATAGTTTCATATATTGATTTGAGTGTGTTACTTGTTTTGAGCTTTCAAATTATAATCATATACCTATTTCTCAAAACTCAATTCAAAACACAATCATTACTTTTCAAAACAAATAACCAAACACATAATTCAAAACTCTTTTCAAAAGTCGATTCAAATCAATATTTTAATTTTTTAAATATTTTAAAAATATTTTAATTTTGTTAAGATTTTAAATATTTTAATATTTTAATATGTTACGAATTTGTTAAATTTTTAATTTTTTTGAATATTTTTAAATATTTTAATTTCAAAATATTACGATTTTAATTTTTTTAATTTTAAAATATTTTATAAAAATAAATTCAAACTCTATTTTATAAAAATATTTTTAAATATTTTAATTTTTTTGTTATTTATTTGGTTACAATTTGAATGTAGAATTGTGAAAGTAGTATGGAGTTTCGAGTTATGTGTTTGGTTATGAGTTTTAAAAATAATTTTTTAATTGAGTTTTGTTTTATGTGTTTACAATTTGAGTGTAGAGTTTTTTTAAATTTAAAATATTAACATTTTAAATTATTTCAACTTGTTGAATATTTAAATTTTTACGATTTAGATTTTTTCAATATTTATTTTAATTTTTTACTTATTAACTTTTTTAGATTATTTAAATTATTTAAATATTTATGATTTAAATTTTTTGAATATTTATTTTGAAAAAAAATTATTTCCTTTGTAGTATTTTCAATTAAAAAATTGATTAATGTTATTTTCTGTTAATAATAATTTTTTTTAATTGAATTTTAAAAAGAGTTTGGTTAATTATGAGTGTTGATTAAAATTTTCAATTGTGTGAAAGTAGTTTGTTTTATTATGAGTTATAACAATTTGAATTAAGTTTTGAAAACTCTTTTCAAAATTCATAAGCAAACAAATTTTCGTATTTCGCATGTCAAATCAAACTTTCAAAACTCAATTCAATAATTTATTCAAAAATCATAACCAAACAAATTTTCTACACTCAAATCATAATTTCACAACTCACAAACTCAAAATATAACTCATACTCTCAAATTATATTTACAAAACTCTACCAAACACAACTTTAAATTTTTTTTTTGTTGAGTTTTTATTTTTTATTTTTTATTTTCCTTTTTTTCAATAATTTTGACAGACTCATAGGCCAATGCTCGGGTTTCAAACTTTAGCCCTAGCTTCATTTGGGTTGTCAGGCCCACTTGAACCCGAGGTGTTAGCTCCGCACAAGTCAAGCAAGCCTAAGTCAGGTCGTAGTTACAAGCTTTCAAGTTGAATAATAATTCATAATTAAAAATGATACGGTGAACTCCATTTAAGTGGAGGATCCCACTTTTTTTTTTGGGTGAATATAGGATCCCACTTTAATCATAAAAGAAACTATTTTGTTCATACTTCTTATCATTTGGTTGGAGTGTTGAACGAAAAAGAACTCCTTCAAAGCTTAGGTTATGGCTAAAAGTCCCGTTTGCTAAAATTGCGAAAAAAGTAATTATAATTTATACCTTAATAGTTTATAATTTATAACTATAAATATAAGTTAATTTTTGACTTATAAATTAAGTTTCTTATTCCCCACTTAAAAAATAAGTTGATTTTTGACTTACAAAAAATTATAAGCTATATTATTAAGCTG